AAAACTTGGCTGCAAGACAGGCAACCCCCCAGCCGCAGGGATTCTCAGGCACTGTCAGAGCTGTGAAGCCCAAGCTTTCGCCGTGAGTAGCTGCAGAGGGCAGGACACGATTTGTTCTAGCAGTCTCTCTAAACACATTTTGCGGGGCATCCTGTTACTGAGGCTTGAGCGGTTCCTCACTGCCCATTGGGGGAAATAGCCGTCGGGGCCCTGCAGTGATAAGGCTGACCCTCGGCCGCCTGGCCGGACGCGACAGGCTGTCCCGCAGAACCAGGTCCTTCCTGCCTTCCTCCCTTTCTGTGTGCTCATCCTAATCCCATTCCGGGACTTTCTTGCACGGTGGCCTGGAACTAACAAAGATGTTTCTGTCTCTTCGTCACTTCTCCCCAACCTTTGCTATTTCCCTGAGGCGATTTTTCTTTCTTTGGGGGCAGAGGTTGGTTTGGAATTTTTCTGGGTCCTCTGCAGCAGGTACAAAAGAACTATTTTAGTTTATTGATGGGGCCTGAGAGGGGAGAGCCTGAGAGCAGAGGCAGGTGCAGCAGGGGGTGGGGGCGCACCGGAAGGAGTCAGTGTTGGAGCTGCCCCAGGACTTGGGGGTGCGGGCGGGGAGTGAGGGGCTGAGGGGGAAAGCAAGCACCAGGGAATGTGTGGCGAGGCCCTGCCTTCTCTGTTTCCCCGGGACCTTCCCACTGTCTTCTTCATTACTGAAATCTTGGCCTCTTCACTCTTCGTTGAGACATGATGCCTGCCCCGACCCCCTCCCTTGATTCTTCAGTTGGTATTTGATCTTCCCCTCTGTTCCACTCCAGCTCTGCTCATCACAGGTTATGCTTGGGACACCCAACAGGTCATAACCTCTGAGGAGGCTGACAGGTTTATCTTCTCAGATTCTGTCCCCACTGTCCCCACCGCCGTGCCTCTTACATAAAATCCATTCCTTCAAGGTGTTTCTCGAGTCCATGATTTCAGGGGCAGAGTGAGAGGAAAAAACTGCTTTGTGTGTCCTGGACCCCTGATGGGACTTCATTGACCGGGTCCTGGGATTCTGCGGGGGTGCACTGGTAAAGAAAGGAGACCCTCCCCCCCCCCCCCCCCCCCCCCCGCAAGCGTCTGGGAGGGGCAGAGTCATGAAGTCTACCAGTATGCAAAGTGAAGCTGCCAAGGGTCTCGGGAAGGGGCACCTGCAGTTTTCCAGCCCTTCCTCCAGGAGGCAGCCTTGCATTGCCTCTGACACCTAAATGCTTTGCAGTGGATGCCAAGCATCTTGCCTGTGAGACTTGGACTCCGGTTTCCGTTTTGACATTGACTGGCTGCGTGAGCTGAAGAAAGTCTCCTCGCTTTCAGGGTTTGTTTCTCCTCTGTGAAGCAACAGGATCAATCCCCTTCCAGCTTATTCTGGGACACTAACATGCCATAAATCTCCAGGGCTGGCGCCATTCTACTTCTCATAACGCCTTTAGAAGACCAGGTCTTAGAAACAACTGTGCGTGCCTTCCAGAGTCACATGCCTCTGTTCATCTCCAGGTCTGCCGTGGTTGATTGTCTTAATCTCTCTGTTCCCGTAAAATGGCGATCATACCCGAATCTACCTTGCTGGGCTGCTGGCAGATTGAAGGAAGACATTGTTCTAGAATGTGCCGTATCCGCCTAGCATGGAGCGGCAGCTGTGAGGACTGTTACTCATCTCTGCTCGTTTGACCACTGTGAGCTGGAGGACCTTTCCTGGCTTCGCTGAGCTTCCTTCCTCACTGCTGGTGTGGAGGGTCCAGCAATTCTCGAGCGCCCCTGTGAGGGTAGCAGCAGGCCCCAGAGCCACCGCACCCTGATCCTGTTGGTTATGTTCCCCTGGTTCCCAAACCCGGCTGCGCATCAGAATAACTGTGGAGTGCTGGCTCTTCGTCTACGAAAAGCACTTCTTTACAGTGTTCAATTCATTGTAAATTTCGAAGTTACTTCTAGAACTGGGAGGAGCTGAACTAAAAAGGTCATTTTATAGGAGGAAATAGTGTAGACAATGGTCTTTATTTTTTTTTTTTAATTTTTAAAATTTTAATGTTTTATGTATTTCTGAGTGAGAGACAGCGTGAGCAGGGGAGGGTCAGAGAGAGAGGGAGACTCAGAATGCGAAACAGGCTCCAGGCTCTGAGCTGGCTGTCAGCACAGAGCCAGACGCAGGGCTCGAACCCACAAACTGCGAGATCATGACCTGAGCCGAAGTCGGATACTTAACCTACTGAGCCACCCCTAGGTGCCCCTAGGTGCCCCTAGGCAATGGTCTTTATAGTGGTCAGATAGTTTCTTAAAACCCAAACCTCAGATTGTTGTCTGCATGTACCCTCTTGGGCAAAAGGAAGTTCTTACTCAGGGGAGGCACAGATTGTGTCTTCTAAGTGGGTCTAAGGGAACTATATGTGGAAGCATGGGGGTGAGGGGTACAGGAGGTCCTCCTGGGAGCGTCTGTGGGCGTCTCAGTGGAGTGGGCACATTTGTTTTGGCGTGATCATGGAAATCACGGAGATGACAGGCAGTCTGTGACATCCAGCTCTTTAGAGGAGAAGGATTCCTTGCATCCCTTGGTGAGTCCCCAGCTGTGCCTGCTAGGAGGCGTGCCATGCACTTGAGGCCCCGGATGACCCCTAGGAATTGGTTTTGGGGCCTCCAGTCCAGGTGGAGCTGCTTCAGCGAGAAGAATAAGACCCTGCAGGTTGGTGCTGGGAGCCAGATTTCGCCCATTTTGATGGTTGGGCCAGAGGAGCTCTCTGGTCACTGAGGGTGTCTTTTAGGAAGTTTTTGGTGACTTCTTACTTCTTGGAGCTGTTTTAGGGACATGGTTTGTTGATAGTGAAGTTCATATGAAAAATAGATCTGCTAGAATATCCAGGGAAACCCCGAAACATTGAAAAGAAAGACGGGCTTTTAATGTCTTGTTCACAGGACATTAACACAAATCATAAAGCCCCTGTAATGAAAGCAGTGAGGCTGTGGCACATGAATAGACAGACCAGTGGAAGAGAATAGAAAGTACAGAAATAAACCTAAGTACAAATGGAAACTTCATGTATGGCAAAGGTGGATCCCCAATCTCAGAGGCAACGATAGGCTTTTTAATAAATGGTGCTGCAAAACTGGGGAGTCATTTCAATAGATAAAGTTAAATCCATAACACAATCATGCAGAAGAATATGCTCAAGTGGATCATGAATTTAAATGTAAAAAAGGAAACCATAGTAAGTACTAGTGGGGAGGACAAAAAGTATGGGTGAATTCCACTTGACCTCAGTGTTAGGAAGGGATTTCAAACCATGACTCTGAATCCAGAGGCAATTAAACGAGTCATTTGAACATGGCAAAACGCACCATATACAAAGTAAAAAGACAACAAAGAAATTGGGAGAAATGATTTGCAACACTCACAACTAAGGGCTTCGCTACGAAGAGCTAAAATCCCTAATAGTAGAGAACTCTTAAAAGTTGAAGCACAGAGGATGAATGATCCAAAAGAAAAATGAGAAAAGACTTGAACAGACAATTCACACACAGTGCACAAGTTAAAAGGGTCCTCAAACATATGAAAACATATAAAAGCATGAAATCATAAGCAGAGACATGTAAATTAAAACCACCGAGTGCTGGATGGTAACCTGAATTGGCTCCTGGAACATGTAAAAACACCATGAATGAGCAGCTGGCTAAATCTGAATGAAGTCTGTAGATTAAACATATCCATGTTAATTTCCTGGTTTCGATCATTGTGTTAACAGTTACATAAATGTTAACATCTGGAGAAGATGGGTGAAGGGCATGTGGGAACTTTATTATTTTCAAACTATTTTGTAAGTCTGAAAATTAAAAGAAAAAGTGAAAAATTAAAAATGAATAAAAGTGGAAACCCTTGGGTCTTCCTCCAGAGATTCTGATTCGGTAAATCTTTTTTTTTTTTTTTTTAATTTTTTAATGCTTTTTATTTATTTCTAGGAGAGAGAGAGAGACAGCGTGAGCAGGGGAGGGTCAGAGAGAGAGGGAGTCACAGACTGAAACAGGCTCCAGGCTCTGAGCTGGCAGTCAGCAAAGAGCCCGACGTGGGGCTCGAACCCACGAACCGCGAGATCATGACCTGAACGAAAGTCGGACGCTTAACCGACTATGCCACCAGGGCGCCCCCTGATTCGGTAAATCTTAGACATGGGGCTAGGGGTTGTATTTTTAACAAACTCCCTTGGTGTTTCTAGTATTCCAGTGTAGAGTCCCCCGGATCAGGTGAACTTAAACATCTCTTTTACTCATTGTGCTCAAGAAATATTTGAGTGACTAGTCAGTATTCAAACAGAATAAACACATGAATCAATAAAAACAGGGCAGGCGTGATGTCTGCATGACAAGGAACATGGTGGCCGGGCTGTGGTGTGGGCAATTTCATGGTTCTGTGTCAGGAAGTACACAGAACTTCCAGGCTAATTTAAAAAATTTTTTTAATGTTTATTTTTGAGAGTGAGAACACGTGTGAGCGTGTGAGCAGGAGAGGGGCAGAAAGAGAGGGAGACAGAATCGGAAGCAGGCTCCAGACTCTGAGCTGTCAGCACAGAGCCCAACATTTGGGACTGAACTCAAGAGCTGTGAGATCATGACCTGAAGTTGGACGCTTAGCTGACTGAGCCACCCAGGCATCCGAGACTAATACTTTTTAATCAAATGCTCCCTCTGAATCAGACACTTTCTGATTTAACTAAACCCCCAAATTAATTTACTTGTGTGCCAGGGCAGTCAGTTTCGTGGGGATGGAAAATAAGTAGAGTCAGTTCCTATCCCCAAGTTTATGGTTCACTGGGTAAGATGCACCCTGGGAACTGACTCTGACAGAAGCCAGAGTGTGGTCAAGATTCAAGGGGCTGTGGTGGGTGTGGTCAGTTGGAATGTTGGGGAATGGAACAGTCCTAGAGGCAGTTGGGAGGCAGTTCTGAGGCGAGAGGGCCGTTGGGGAAGTGAGAAGGCTCCTGGAGAGGGAAGATGGGTCCAAGGGACAGCTTCCGTCTCAGAGGATGGGTGCAGAGGTGGCACTGTGAGCCATCGTAGGGGAGCTGGGAGGGCTGACTGGTTTGAGATAGGTGAGTCCGACATTCGCTGTGGTAGGGTCGGTGAGTGGCCCCTGAGAACATGTTGCTGCTCTCCAGGACCCCTCCTGGGGGCGAGAGGCCAGCCTGGCCACACAGAACTAGACTTCTGGATAGAGGGAACCCAGTGCTCTCTTGGAGGTGCGGAGGCTGAGGCTGGAGGACAGGGTCAGGAGCCTGGAGCTGGGTGGGTTTTAGGGGAAGACAGATATCTGCATGCATTTATTCCACGCCTTTGGAAATGTGGGTCTGTTGATCAAAGGAGGAGATGGAGGCTCAAAGCAGACTGAGATGGGTTCCCACGGCAGCCAGAAGGAGGGGCTGTGGAGGGAGAAAGTGTGACTCGAGGGTCCCGGAGGAGCCCGTGTGGAGTCTCAGTGTGGTATGAAATCGTGCTCAGGGGAGGGGCGTTTGATCCAGCAATCCCAGTCCATTCAGACCCGTAGTGTGTGCACATGGGAGCTCTGTCCTGGAACTTCCTGCCTTTGAATCCGGAAGGAATAGAACCTGTTTTCAAAGCACGATTGTAGGATTAAATGGCTCGCATATGTAAAGTGTTTTCATGTATGTACAGTACTCACAAAGGTTGTCATTTCCTTAAGGAGCAACAGGAGATTGAAGGAGCAAGTCATGGGGCTGCAGAGGCTACCAAGCCGGTGTAAAGCCCCCGAAGCCCTGAGAAGAGCAGGTTTTAAGAAGTAGAACGAGTCGTCGTGATTTCACGCAGCCACTAGATGCCAGGTAGGACCGTGTATTATCACAGACAATTCTCACTGTAACCTTACGAGGGAACTTTTATTTATTTATTTATTTTTAAAATTTTTATTTTTTAATTTTAATTTTTTATTTTTTTTAATTTTACAGATAGTTTATTGTCAAATTGGTTTCCATATAACACCCAGTGCTCATCCCCACAAGTGCCCTCCTCCATGCCCATCACCTTCCCTCTCCCACACCCATCAGTCCTCAGTTTGTTTCTCAGCATTCAAGAGTCTCTCATGGTTTGCCTCTCTCCGCCTCCCCCACTATTTCCCCCCTTCTTCTCCCCCACGGTCCTCCGTTAAGTTCCTCCTAATCCTCCTATATGTGCAAACATATGGTATTTGTCCTTCTCTGCCTGACTTATTTCACTAAGCATCACACCCTCAAGGTCCATCCATGTGGCTACACATGGCCAGATTTCATTGTTTCTCATTGCCATGTAGTATTCCATGGTATAGATAAACCACATCTTCTTGATCCATTCATCCGTGGATGGACACTTAGGCTCTTCCCATGTTTTGGCTATTGTAGAGAGTGCTGCTATGAACATTGGGGTACATGTGCTCCTATGCATCAGCATTTCTGTACGAGGGAACTTTTATTATCGTTCCCATTCTGTGCTGTAACAAGCTCAGGGTCATAAGAGTAGGACTTCTATTTCCTGATCTGATCTGGACCTTGGGTATTAAATGGCCCTTGGGTTAGAGACTGGCATCCCATGGAGATGGTCATTTGCAGGATACTTTCAAGGGCTGAGGCTCTGCTAAATGCTGGTGACCTTAAGCTGTCCCCACCCTTCCCAGCTGGAGTGCAGGTTGAAAAAAATTTTTTTAATGTTTATTTATTTAGTTTGAGAGAGCAAGAGAGGCAGAGAGAGAGAGAGGGGTAGAGAGAGAATCCCAAGCAGGCTCTGTGCTGTCCATGCAGAGCCTGATGTGGGGCTCGATCCCACGAACCATGAGACCATGGTTCAAGAGCTGGACGCTTAACCAGCCGAGTCATCTAGTTGCCCCTGGAGTGCAGGTTGATCAGAGCTGGGGCAGAGAAACTGGGTATCATTTGTCCTGGGAATCCTTGTAGGCACACTTTTTACTATGTCCCTTTCCTGCTTCCAACGTTTCAGCTGCCTCCTGGGCAATTCTCCTTCTTGCACTGTCCTCCAGACCCCTCCTGAGCCTTCCGGCTCCATGTCTTTGCTTCTTAACTCCCTCTCTCCATGGGGATCCTATCCCTCCCTCCCCACTTCCTCTTGTCGTGCACTGGCCCAGAGTGAACTTGCTCCTTCCTCCTAACTTGTAGAGAAACTTCCCTCAGCATGACTCCTTTGGATCTTTTCTGGTTCCCTGGGACAATTTCCCTTGCTTAGGGGCAAAGGATGGTTTAGATTCTTCTGAATCCCCTGCGTAAGAAATTTGTCCCACGTATTGAATTCTCTAGTGTCCACAAGGCAGACAGGCTTTTGTGCAGGGTTCAGGAAGCCATGTGTTCCTCAGCAGGGCCGAGGTAAGAGTGCTGGGGGAGTCACAGGAATCCCACCAGACACGAACCTGGCCAGAGAGGCCAGCCAGGAGAGGTGGGGGGATTCTTGAAGTGGAGAGCCGTCATGACCCATAGTGAGTTAGGAGGAAGAACAGGAGGAAGGGGAAGCAGTTGGGACAAGGAACAAGTGAGTGGGGGCATTGGCTGTGTCTGTTCCTGCCCCCAGAAATGCCTCTCCCCTCTCTCCACGTCCGTCTGCCTTTGTTTCCTCTTCAGAGCTCACCACGTCTGCCACTAGAGCCCCTCTGATCCATTTCCTTGGTACCTGATCGGTCCTCCATCCCGCGGCTCTCAGCCTCTGTCAGATCTTTGCTTCACTGTTTCCTTGGTCATCTGTCTCATTCTGGAGACTCCACGGGGCCCGGAACAGTGGCTTGTCATTTCTGGTTCTTAAAGTACCAGACCCAGTGGCTGGGCCGCAGAAAGCCCTCAGTATGTGGTGCTGACTGGACACATGCATGGGTGCAGCAAGGGAGAAAAAGTAGAGCACGGGGAGCCTGGGGACTTCCCCTGGGTTGTCAAGAATGAAATGAGAAAATCCCCAGGATGGAGCGTGCCCTGAACCCAGCCCTCAGCTTTCCTGGGCAGGGACCCCAAGAAATCTGAGAGGCAGACCTGAGGCTTGGGTCGCTTAGCAATTAGACAGCAGGGGGCACTCTGGCCCCACCTAGGTCCCCACTTCTGGTGCTCCAATCCTCCCCATCTTGAGCAGAAATACTGATTTCAGTGGCAGGATGCCCACAAGTCAGCACTGATGCACTTGGCCTGGCTCCTCTTAGCTGGGCTGAGTGTGAGGGAAGGAGACCCTCATCATCACGGCCTGTTCTCTGGGATGAAAAGTAAGAAGGTTCTGATGATGCCACCAGCTCACAAATACACTAAGACCCCGGGGCCAAGGGTGCAAGTCTATTCCTGACTTTGACACGTTTGACTGTCTATGTGATCTTGACACATTCACTTCCCCTCTCTGGGCCTATTTCTTCTCCACCACATGGCAGGGTCCATAGCTTCCAGCCTATTCCAGGATCCAGAAACCCCCAAATCATGCCGGGATGTGGTGGTGCTCTGTAGACCATCCATCCTTTGTGGCCTCAGACAGTGCCTTTAGGGGACCAGAGTCCAGAAAAGCCACCTTCCCCTGCTGTGGGGACTGGTCCTGAACTGAGCATTTCCCATCCCCTTCCCAGAAGCCACCTGTGCACGACTGGGAGTGATAAGATAGCCAGTCAAGGGAAGGAGCTGGAGCCTCTGAAGAGATGAGCCCAAACCGGGTCCAGATGTGGGTAGTATTGTACACACATGGCAAATGGGTTAAGTCTAAATGGAGTTGGCTGTTGTTTTCTGACACAGGAATTTTATTAAAAATTTTTTTAAAATCTTTATTTTTGAGAGTGAGACAGAAAGGGACAGAGTGTGAGCAAGGGAGAGGCAGACACAGAATCTGAAACAGGCTCCAGGCTCTGAGCTGTCAGCCCAGAGCCTGACACGGGGCTCAAAGCCATGAACTGTGAGATCACGACCTGAGCCAAAGTCAGACGCTTAACCAGCTGAGCCACCCAGGCGCCCCTGAAACAGAAACTTTAGATTTGAATATGTGTATTTGCAAACTGTGAGGAAAATGTGCAGTTGCATGCAGTTTCCTGCCTGTCACAGGCCTCCAGGGATGCGCAGGTGCCATGCTGGGCAGTTTTCAAAGGAAGCCGAGGGTGAGACTGAAGAGTGACCGCCAGGAAGTGAGGACGGAGGATGAGTCCCGAGGCACAGTCGCAGCTGGAGGAGAGTAAAGTTGGTCCCTCACAGCAACTAGCCCGACTGCCCCCTGAGCAACCTCTTGCTATGAAACAAAAGCAGAGGCAGATTCAGGGAACCAAGGAGAGGTTTAATGGAGGGAAAATGAGGAAACCTTGGGGACTCACCATCATTTATTATTTTCCAGATATTGGCTGGCTGTGGGCCTCTGAGGAGTGCTGAGACGGGCCTGGTACAAGTCTGGGTGGGCAGCTTTGGTGGTTGCAGATGCACAGGTTTCTCGGAGCTGACGTGCTGGCTCCACGAATCGGCTGCTGGTGCGGCGGTCACATTCACAGGTGAGCGCGATTGGACATGAGAAGGATCTGACCTAGACCGCGGCTTCCTGTCCTGCCCGATCCCAGGGCAGCAGCTGCCCAGACCTGCAACTCGGGAGAATCAGAGCACAGTCCCTCTCCCTGAAAACTCAGTGGTCACAGGGAGGGTGCCTCCTCTGCTCTATGCCAGGTGTCCACATCCACGCTGTCCTCTGGAGCCGCTGTCCCTGCTGAGGCCAGTATGATAGGGCATCTGGCCAGGCATCTTTGATGACTTCTCTCCCAGTGAGTGGAGGGCGGCCAAGGCGTGTGAACCCCATGGAAAGCCTGACTGGTGTCAGAGCGCCTGGCATCCGCTGCCATCCTGAACCTGGAGCGCCCCGGCCATGCCTGTGGCTCTCACTTGCTGGCTGTGTCACCTCTCTGTAGCCCTGTCCTTCTCTGTCACATAGTGATCTGATCTGATTGGATGGCTGTGATGTTTAAATGAGCCAATACATGGCAGAAGTTCTTTAGAGCAGGGTTTCTTTTACTTAGAAGGATAAAAAACAAAAAACAAAAAACAGGAATACTCCCTAAGAAGACTCCCTGACCTCAGTATCTTTGGGTGACTGATATTGGGGGAGTATTCAATGATGTCAGGGACTGGTGAACCACCGCATCCCAAGCTGCAAAGCCTTGTGTCTGTGTCTGTATGCACAAGTAGCTTTCCCCCTCAAGCACAGAATCTATGACTAAGATGCTCAAAGGGTCATGACTCAAGATTAGATGCCTTGGGTTCAAGTATCTTTATTCCTGACCAGAGTCTCTCAGACTCAGCACTATTGACATTTGGGGCCGGATAGCTCTTTGTCGCAGGAGAAGGGGAGGAGGCATCCTGTGCATTGTATGATGATCAGCAGCATCTGGAGCTCTTCCCCAGGAGAGGCTGGTTGTCACAAACAAAAATGTCACCAGATATTGCTAAATGTCCTCCGGGAGGGGAGAGGGGGACAAATTGCCTCCGGAGGAGAACTCCTGCCTTGCAAAGCTTTCTATGTTGTGAGCCCACAGTGAGTGGCTGGCTGTGCTGAAGTCCATACACCAAGATTACTTTTCTGAACCTCAGTGTGTCTGGCTACTTTTGTGAGCTGTCTGGAGGGTCCAATGACATCTTGACAGAGGGTTTTTCAAAGTTGATGGACCATAGGCTTCCCAAACCCCAGCCCTGTTTGACATAAATTACTGCTTCCTTAACCTGGCTGGGCAGCTGGATCAATTGGAACTTGATTTTTATTGTATTTCTTTTCACTTAAACCTAAAGGGTTTTTAGAGCATTAAATACATTAAATCACTCAGTCGTTTATGATTAAACCTGAGTTACGATGAAAATTAAACAGTTCATTCTGTGGAGAACAAGATCTTGAGGTAATCTTCTTTTGTGGTGAATACATTTTTTTTAACACCACAAACCTCAAACTGGTAGTTCCTCATTCAGGGGAAGGACCAGAGAAGGGTTTTAGGGAGAAGGCCCAGTAGGAAGCAGATATGGTAGAAGAATTGGAAGCACTTGAGGTCCCCTCTGTTTAGCAGGTGGTCTCAAGGTACCCTAAACTGGGTGCCCTTGTGGTGGGAGGCATCCAGTCTATGATGAGGGTCTTTGACCTCCCACCTTTTAAATGATTAATCCTCCTTCATAGGTGAGTAAGGTTCAACTCTCCTCTTGCTTAGCTCCTTGTATGTCTGCTCTAACACCTCCCCAGGAATTCTTGTGTTACTGCCCGGGAGTGAGGAATGTGCCTTCAGACTTCGGCAGCTTTTTTTTTTTTTTTTCTTTTTCTGAATGCTCCTGGAGCTTGCTTTTGGGCATTCCTTCCATTGTGGGTTTGCTGGCACATTGGTCTCATCATTGGGACAGTGATGCCTGGTCGTAGACTGCAGAAGCAAGCTTTGGAAATGCTGCATTTGCAGCAAGCTCCGGGTGATGGATTGCCACCGATGGAGGAGGCCAGGGGCTGCTTTTTGCCCTGAGTCTCTCCTCCGCCTGGTGGGGTTTGGGGATCTTGTCACTGACCCCAAGTATAAGAATCCATACAGAATCTGGCTCTTGGAGATGCGTGTCTGTAACATTGAGTGTGGCTGTATGAGTCCCCTTGGCATTTGTGTGGACCTGGACTGTCATCTGCACAGCTTGTCCTGTGAGTTCAATGATAAGGATTCCAGCTAGCCCCTTGTGACACCACCACGGCAGTGCCATGACAAAGGTAACACACAGAGGTTTCCAGGGTTGGTAAGGGTTGTGCACCACAGCATTGATATTAAATGTTTTAAAGGCAATGAGCCGGTTCTTCAGGGCCAATGTGGCTATTATCCTAGAGTTTCTCAATGATGCACTAGGATGCTGCATTGTGTAGACCAAGTTGATGCTGTGGATCGTCATAGCTGTGGGAGATTCTGTTTCCCAGATGGGTGTGGCAGCCACGGGGCTGGGGTATCTGGTTTGAAGTTAGTTGCGGATGGCCCCGCTGAGAAGGAGTCTCTTCAGGCTGGGCAAACTACACTGAAGACTGCGGTGCAAATTGTCGTAACAGCGTGGAGTCCTCCCATTTGCTGTGTGGACAATAGAGCTGGTGTTGGAGGAGGGTGCGGCCATACCTGTGAGGGTGCGGCTGCAATCTCCTCATTCTCATCTGGAAGAGCCAGGAGGCTTGGGGGAGGGGAGGGGCAATGCTGACTGGGTTGGCCCAGGATTGGCCCTTTTTGTGTACCCTGAGCTGGTTCCTCTTTGACACTGTGACGGACTCGGTGGCTTTCCTTTGCTTCCCTGTAGAAGTGAAGGGTTTGGGCGCAACACAGATAGGGCTCGGGAGCTGAGGCCTCAGATGAGCCCAGGACTAGGTGTGAAGTGTGCTTAGCAGGCCTTGACCCTAGTCTAGGCTAAGCTGCTCTCAGAAGGGACAAGAAGGATCTTACAGTTTGGCTCATTGTTGGTGCTGGGAAGAAACAGTGTGAGCAGTGGTCTTTATAGTGCTCACACCGTTTTTTAAAACCCCAAACCTCAGATTGTTGTCTGCATGTACCCTCTTGGGCAAAAGGAAGTTCTTACTTGGGGAAAGTGGGGATTGTATTTCTCAGGAGGTCTAAGAACCAAAGGTAGAAGGACAGGAGGTCCTTTGGGTGGGACAGTGGTCTCCCCACTGGGCTGTGCATCTTAGTCTTGGACATTATGGAAATTGTGGAAACAACAGGTGGCCTATGACATCCAGCTCTTCAGAGGAGAAGGATTCCTTGTCTCTATTGGTGGGACCCCACCAGTGCCTGCTAGGAGCCATGCCATGCACTTGAGGCCCCACATGACCCCTAGGAATTGGTATCGTGGCTTTCAGGTCTACAGTGGTCTCCTTCAGCAAGAAGAGAAAGACCGCACAGGCTGACTCATTATTGGTGCTGGGAGCCGGGTCTCACCTGTTTTGGAGGCTGGGCCAGACAGTGCTGTGGTGGTTGAGGGTGCTTCCCTTCCAGGAAGTTTCTGGTGACTGCTTACTTCTTGGAGCTGTTTTGAGGGATACTGTTTGTTGAAGTCTGTCTCTCTCTCTTGGTGTGTTTGTCCTACAGCATATCTCCAATTGGCATGTCCCCTCTTCTCTGTGGCAAAAGCTCTTTTAACATCCTGTGTTGTGAATGAGGGTTTCGTGGCTTCCTTGTTTACAATACAAATGTAGATTTTAGAGCATCTTTCTTGTTTAAAATTTTTTTTCCTCCAGGTGTTGGACTTTCTGCTGATTCATTTTCACTTCCTCAAGCAGCTTCCGCTCTTTCTCCTTCTTGATCAGCTGTCTGTGCCTGAATGTGACTTGTTGCCCATGGCCTTCATTTGGGCCTGTGTGGTGTTGTCTTCATGTTCCAAGTGGGCACCGACTGAATGCAGGGAGCACATCCTTCATTGCTTTACATTTTCTTCCAGTTCTTGCCCGCCGGACACATGATCTCACTGGGGATTGGAAGGCTGCATCTCTTTCAAAGCACTCTCTTTCTTCCTGACTCTGTTTTGCAGAGCCCTGACTTGCTGCTGGTGGCCTTCTGAAGGCTTGTGTGATGTTCTTCTCAATTTTTTTGGTAGCGTGTGGGCCGTACATCTTTTTTGTCCTTTGTGCTATGGCATAGTGATGCCCCCCTCTCCTTTTCGAACAGAAAAGGTTGCCCCTCTCCAACCATTGTGGACAGTATTTTGTCCTGCGATGATTGTGATCTGACATGATCATCTGACTTTGTATTTTCTCATCCTGGGATTCAGCTGCTTTCTGACTTGTGGCACATTGGATGCTGGGGTATTGTTGGGAGTCGTGGTAAATGGCATGAGGAATTGGTGTTTATGCACAGACTGTGTCCAGTCTCTTTGGTGGAGGGGTACTGGGCGGGTGTTAACTCTCCAGAACTTTCCCAGCCTCCTCACCTTTTTGGGCCAATTTCTTTTGCCTGTAGCTCTTCATTTCCTTACCCTTTAAGCCAACTATGGCTTCAGCTGCAGAGTCTTCAGTGAAATATCCTGTCTTCTGAGGAGTCAATGATTTTTTCGAAACCAGAGGCCAAGAAGAGTGACCCTGGAAAAGGAGTCATGAGCAGCAGCCCCTTCCCAGGACTCACAGAGGCCACCTTCAGAGTGAGACTGTCACCTCTAGTCTGTGACTCCAGGGGGCAGCTGGCACCCCATCAGCTTCCCCTTTCTGTGAGCTGACAGTAACCCCCCTCCCCTGGGAGACATGTGGCCCTGTCCCCAGCTGCCACCAAGCCAGGTGGGCTGCTCGGGATTTTGTGATTTAGAGCCTAGTTTTGTCTTCAGGAAGAACTCTTCAGAACTTTACTTTGGGTTTTAAAACTACCATTCAGAAACCTTGCTTTTCCTTTAACCTTTCAGTTCTGTTTGCAGTTTCTGCTCTAACACATTTTAGTTGTCCCTTTCATGGGGAGTTGGTGAGATTCTGGGTCCTGTTTGGAGCTGTTGATGGTGAGAACCGACCCCCTCCCCATGGCAAGACAAGCTG